GCCGCCCAAACCCTCCTGAGATAACAGTCAAGTTCTGAAGACTATATTGGATACCAAAGGTAGGCTTTAGTAGAAATCGGTATTGAAGTAAGCAAGTGCACGTTTGCTACTACGATTTTGCGGTTGCAAAGCCGAGGTTGGGTATGGCTGGCCAGTAAGCCAGAAATGGCCGTTTCCATCTAAACTGTCCTCGTCGATAATCTCCTGCTGCATACATTATAAGTCACTGTGCTGCTGCCCATGGGGTTCTAAATGGAACTCCAAGGCATAAGGAGACGAGCAGACCCCGTAAAGCGTCGTCTACCACAGTTGACATAAGATTGCCCTGGAAAGGCTGAAAGACGTAATCAGCAACGCACGTAAGTGTGGCACATGTTGCATGATTTGCCATTCTTGCAGCACGGATGCTAGCTAAAAGCCCAGGCATACGTATTCCACCGATTTACACCGACGTATGACGCTTCTCAGGCTCTCCCAATATGCCCTGTGCTTTATGGCAGATTTTTAACGTTTTTTAACGTCAACACGCGAAGCTGAAGACAGAAGCAGTTTTCACAGACAGCGGGCAATTTACGCCGCCAGCCGAGATACGTGAGGGTGAACACAGCAAGGCTGCCCAACGAGGTATTCCCTCTTTCCGGTACCTTGGTGTTACTCAGACATTTTATATTTGATTCCTTCGTAATATTAATATCCCTTTGGTTAAGATTCGAAAACTCCTTCGGTATACCTCCGGTTTGGGTTCCTCTCGCGCACGCCGCGAGCCCTAATCTGGCGATTTATCGATGCCTGCATACTCCCTCTCATTCTCTATTGTGCTTCGGTTATTTTCCCAGCCTTGCTTAAAAAAGAATTCAATAGACCCAATTGTGAAAAATTCGCGGCCTCAGTGAGATTCGAACCCGCGTAAACAAGGAAAGGCTTGAGTGCAGCCAACGCTCTGCCAGCGAAGATACCAGGTTCACCAAGAGCCGTGAATTTAATCACACTTGGGTCGATTTACCTGTCCAGCCTACTGCACGTATGAAACTAGCCAATATGGATACAATAAGCTGACTGCTCAGGCAGGATTTCTCAAGCAATCAATCTAGAATCCATTATAGTGACTATCCGGCATACTTTACTTCATAATTGGGTTACAATTGGGTCAAGTAGGTTATTCAAATCTGCCACATCTTCCTAATAAACTCGATACTGTAATACAACGACATTTTACAACGGTCAGGCAATTCTCGATAGAAGCGAATAGGCGAGTTGCAGAACGCAGTTCAGAAGTAGAAGATGTAATCGCTGGGACAAGAAGTTTATTTGCTTAACAATTCGCTGATCGAATTCCTGGTAATGTTGCTCATTCTCTGCACTCTGATCTAATCGCTGTAAAGTCTTCCCGTTTCATGCGCCGAGGCTTCCGGCCTATGCCTTGCCGTAAGTCGACATATTAGCTTTCCAAACGACCATTTCTGGCACGCTGCCTTGCGCATAAAGAGACTGAAATCGCAACTGCCTCCATAATAGATGTGCAATTAAAGTAAACCTATGACATGCATTAGGTCAATGTCATCTTCGGGTTTATTCTCTGTTAACTGCGTGTTAGGACTTGACCCTTTTGTTTCCAGTCGAATGCACACTGGTGTTAAAACTAGCCCCCCGGCCAAGTACCACTTAAGTGGTACTTGAATACTGTCCCTATCCCCCGTTCGGCTCTCTTGTCTTTTAACCACTTTTTCCCACAATGCTTCCGCCCCCCTCCCCCCTCAGCATCAAGAGACAGCTGTTTCAAGAGCTACTTGCTATTGCTTCCTCCCCCTCTAGTTCGGTTACAGCTGTCACAACACAGCGAGTTATCCTGACTGTCTCTTGACATATGAAGAATATCCGACTGACTGACTGACCGACTGCCATTTGACATAACTTCTGACCTCGGGTGCGTCCATTCAGGTGACAAAACGCAGCACTGCATTATTAACAGTTATTCGAGTTATCTGACTGTCCTTCGACATAACTTCTGACCTCGGAAACACTGCAGTAAGAAAGCTCTTCAGCTATTATTTACAGTTATTCGAGAAGCCTTTCAGTCATTACTTACAAAACCCTTTGATTCTTGTATATCTTGTTAAGTTATCCTATGGTCTCAGTGAATGGAGCCACTTTTGATGAAAATGTTTTATAATACTTTCAAAATAAAGCCTACTTCTCTCTTCATCTCCTCTCAGCGGGTTGTATCGAATAACCACGTCTACGAGCATGCTAACAGGGCCAGCGTGGATCGGAAAGTACAAATCGAACAGCACTACAGATGCTGGGCAAACTAGTCTAATACCAACGCAAGTTCACGTGTACCGCTTCGGTGGAACAAGAAATGCTCCGGGGACAGCTACATTTTACAGTGCTGACCAGCAAAATGGAACCACGGCACAGAGAAGAAGATAAGGATTAAACACCAAATTGTGAAAGAGGAGGGGACCTACCGAAAGAAAGAACATTCGCAGGAGTTTTCGCAAACCGGTCAGAATACAGGCTGCAACGAGAGAGACGATAAAGGGCTTCAGGGTGAAAGAATACCAGAGCCTCCGGTAGACAGTGAAAGAGTAGGGATAGCGGTCTGGATGAAAACAGAACTCCCACACGGAGATGAGCGTCTTATTGAAGAAGTCTGAGAAGCTGGGTGTTCCAGTAACGCACTGCTCCGCCAAATTCTTCAGGTAGCCAGGCGGGTAGCGATGGCTGTCGCCGGCAGCCTCACGTAGAATCTCTCGATCCATCTCAGCGATGATGCGCGAGGTCTGTAGACTTTTTGAGGTTGCGGGATCGAGAGGCGGAGAGGGAGGAGAGGAGGCCTGGCAGTTAACACGACAAAATCCTACCGCCGCAAA